CTCCCTAGCTGCCAGAGATCATTCCTGTTTCTCTCATTATTCAGAGAAATTTAGCTTAGTTTTAACTTCCATACCATCAAAACTCCTAGGCCATCTCTCCCCAGTCAAAAGCTCCATACAAAAGAGACATCTGCCCTGAGGTAAATTCTGAGGATTTCAATATTGCAAAAGTGAATGCTGGCATTTCTTTTTCTAAGCACTGCAATATTTTTCCTCTCTGTTTTATGCTTTGACATTGATCATTTACCTAATAGACTGTGATTTTTAGTTCCTCATTCCAGAGAAAGTTCAGGTTATCTACTCCAATGGTTAAAGAAAGCTGGTGGTAGATGGCTGTACCTACTTGGTCCTAGACTCTACACAGAAAGCAGAGGCCCCGACTTAGTTCTCTGAAAATGGAGATACCAGCAAGTCAATCCTTCTTTTTTACTTTGAGCAAAACAAATTCTTTATTAAAACTGTTGACTTGAAACAGTATATTATATTTAAAGGAAGAATTTTTTTTAAAAAATCTGCATATTCATCAACATCCCATGAATAGAAAGAAAAACAAAAAATTTTTTTAAATAAAAAAGAAAAAATCTGTATAGCAGACTTTTAGAGAAAGCAAATAGGTATAACTTGACACCTTTCCCTCTAATCTTTTGTCAGTTTGCCCCAGTTCATAATCTTATTAATGGACTTAGATTAGACTGATCCTTTGTGATTTATTCATCTCCTTAAAATGTAGGGTCGAAAGTTTGAAGTTCCCTCCTGAGAACTTTAAACCAATGGGGATATCAAATGCCTCAAGTGACATCTTGGGTTGTGATGACTTGGGAGCTAATTCCACTCCCTATTAAGAAGTGTTGCCTGTTTTTCTTTCTCAGTTAATCTCAACCTCTCTCTATACAGGCCAAAAAAGAGACAGTACCTGAAGTATCTGTGATTGTAGTCTCCCTTTATCTTCCTTTCCAATAAGAAGACAACTTTCCTGTTTCCCAGTAAGGATAAAGAAACTACAAATAAGGGCTGGGCGTGGTGGCTAACACCTGTAATCCCAGCAGTTTGGGAGGCCAAGATGGGTGGATCACAAGGTCAGGAGGTCAAGACCATCCTGGCTAACATGGTAAAACCCTGTCTCTACTAAAAATGCAAAAAATTAGTCTGGTGTGGTGGCGCATACCTATAGTCCCAGCTACTCAGAAGGCTAAGGCAGGAGAATCGCTTGAACCTGGGAGGCGGAGGTTGCAGTGAGCCAAGATTGTGTCACTGCACTCCAGCCTGGTTGACAGAGCAAGACTGTCTCAAAAAGAAAAAAAAAAAGAACTACAAATAGCTTTCTCCCAATTAACTGACCTAGAGCTCACTAGCTTGCTTTATTTATTTATTTATTTATTTAGAGACAGAGTCTCATTTTGTTGCCCCAGCTGGAGAACAGTGGCATGATTTCAGCTCACTGCACCCTCAGCCTCCTGGGCTCAAGTGATTCTTGTGCCTCAGCCTCTTGAGTAGTGGAGATTACTGGTGTGTGCCACCACACCCAGCTAATTTTTTGTATTTTTGAATAGAGACAGGGTTTTACCATGTTGGCCAGGCAGGTCTCAAACTCCTGACCTCAAGTGATCCACACACCTCAGACTCCCAAAGTGCTAGGATGACAGGTTCAAGCCATGGTACCTGGCCACTAGCATCTAAATTCATAAGTACAGTTTACAGATTAAATATTTTATCCATTGCTCTAATGTATAAACTTTGTTCAGGTAAAGACTGCTTTCTAGTATAGCAAAATAATGTGAGATTTTAATCATAAAACAATCCTTACTAGTTAAAGTCATTTTATGACAGGGCATGGAAGTGGATATCACTGTGGCCAGGAGCATTCTGGGATGGAGTCATGGGAAAAGTGGGACTTGAATCTTGTGTGGGTGGGAGCCAGATAGATGAGGGGTGAAAAGTAGGACAGGGCAAATAAAAGAACAAGCAAAGCTGAGGGCAGAAATGAGCATCGGATGAGCATGACAAGAGTAGTTGAAATTGATTTGAAAAAGACCTAAATGAAAATTTAGGGTGAAGCATATGTCAATCAACTAAAAAATTACATACTAGGAGCTTCCTAAGTGTCAGGCACTGCTCTAAGCATGCAGTAGTGGGGAAGACAAAGTTTCCATGGGCAAGGAACCTAAATTTGTATATGTGGTAGGGTGGGGGGAAGAAATAAGCACACGCTTTTTTTAAAAAGGTAATTTCAGATTGTGATGGTTTGATCATTGTATATGATCATGATAAAAGAAAATGAAACAGGCGATAGCCATCAGATTTTTAAAATTGTGTGCCCTTCTAGTTAAAATTAGAACACCCATCCCATCTATGTCTATTTTATTCTCTTGTTAGTTTATGTTCACATCATTAAGATGATCTTCCACAAGAATTTCTTAGGAAGAGTCTTTTAGAGCCATTTGCCCATTTTGTGAAGGTTGGCTGAGTGAGCACTCTGTCTTGTAATCCTTAAATCCCCTAAACTACATGCACATCAATGGACACCCATGTTACAATCTGCAGAAGGTGAGTAACTGAGTGAGGACATATGCTTGCCCCTCAGTTGTGGAGGTCTCACTTTTTCCTCAGGAAATTAGGACATGACAAATGATCTACAGTCAATTTTCAGTTCTTTCTTATTTTTTAGACAAAAATGTAATTTCTAAATATTTTCATTTTATTAACCCCATAAAGTATACACATCCCACTGTGGAAATCACTACCATAGAGAGAGAGTCTGGAGAAAGGGTGGCTATTTTGCTAAGGGTGATAAGGGAAGGGGACTCTGTAAAGTGACATTTAAACTGAAACTTACGTGATGAGGCAAGAACTGCCATGCAAAGAAGTGTGCGTAGGCCCAGGTGTTTCAGGGAAGCAGAGCCACTATGAGTATTATGAGGAGAAAGATTTGCTATAGGATTCAGATCTCACAGATGAGGGAGGATCTCAGGAAATGAATGTCTGGAAGGGAGAGTCAGGGGATGAGAGGAAGATCAGTGACTGGTCCATCAGAAGCACTGGGACAATTGGACAAATCAGAGCTTGTGAGAAAATTCAAGAAGTTAAGCCTGTTCAGCACCAAACTGGGACTGCTAGGGTCTATGGGGTCTTTTGCTTCTGTGTAACTACTGCCTCTGTGGGTCCACTACCAAATATCTGGTGGGGGGCCTGGGACCATCACTGATCATGAGGCCAGCAGTCCTGAGCATAAGCTGAATGTGGAGGAAAAGAGCAAGGGCAAGCTGGGATCCAATGGCTACCAGCATGTTTGTCAATATGTCTAATCAAGATTAAGGGTCACTCCTTCATTTCCAAGTCTCACATGAGTTCTTCTTTGGCTAACTCTAACCTAGAACCACACAGGGAAGGAGATTCTGGGAAATGTAGTTCTAAGACTAACCAAGTTGATATAGTACAAACCAGAACCACAGGGAACAGCATATGCAAAAATCTGAGAAGGCAATGAGCTTGGTGTGCTCAAGAGACATACAGAAAATAGATGATGCTGAGGCTCAGCAAAGGAGGGTAGAGGGAGCATGATCAGAGAAGCAGGCAGAGGTCAGCTCATGTGAGGCCAGCTCATGGTACGTTTTGCCTTAATTGTAAGCTGCAGGATTTCAAACAACATGGTGGCATTCTGTAAGTTATTTTTTACAAAGATTATTGTTTGTCATGGAAGTTAGGGAAGCAAGAGAAAAGCCGAGAATAAGAGCCAACAGGGAAAACAGGAGGCTACTGAAGTAGCCCAGAAAACAGACAATGATAGCCTAGAGGAGGATCATAAAAATATAGATACTGAAAACTGGTCAGGAAGGCTTTTACTCTCATTTCTCCCACATATTTTTTCAGTGCTGGAAACATTTCTCTCTATATGAGATGTGGGATCCATCTGCTGCTATGAAGATGTAGCAAAGTGGTTAAGGAGGGTCTGGGACAGACATTGAGGACTTTCTCTTCACCAAGACCTATGCTGAGCCTGCTCCTCACAACAATCTGTATTCTGTAACCAGGGTCACACAGCTAATAAGTAGTGGGCACTGATTCTAAGCAGGATATCTCAGAATCCAGGATCTTAGCTCCTTCCAGGGTCCTCCTACTGCCTCTCAGGTGAAGGTGCTTGTGAGAATTCATGTCTACCATTAGCAGCTATTAATCTGCGCAAATATCACACCTGTCTGGCCTCTAAAGCATCCGTCAAGCATACAGGATGATGTGCTTCGTTCCACTCTCAGCCTTCTCAGAGACTCCACACTGCATAGTGCCTCCAGCCCAGTTTCCTGGACCCTTAAATTGTTCAGTGTTTAGGTCTCCATCATAACTACTTGAGGCTTTAGAATATTCAAACACATACAATTTTAGGAGCTAGAAAAGAAGACATGTTGGCTTCCCGGGTACATACCTCATTAGAATAGTGTTACTCTTGAGGATTAGGAAATAGATTGATTGAATTCTACATAACTCATTTTTTTTTTTTGAGACAAGAGTCTCACTCTGTCACCCAGGCTGGAGTACAGTGGTGCAATCTCAACTCACTGCAACCTCCACCTCCCGGGTTCAAGCGATTCTCCTACCTCAGCCTCCCAAATAACAGACTTCAGGTGCATGCCACCATACCCAGCTAATTTTTGTAATTTTAGTAGAGACGGGGTCTCACCATATTGGCCAGGCTCGTCTCGAACTCCTGACCTCAAGTCAGCTTCAGCCTCCCAAACTGCTGGGATTACAGGTGTCAGCTGCCTGGCCCCACATTAATTCTTTTAAGTCAATGTTGTTGTAAGGCAGTGTTGTCATATTTTCCATAGTGTCATCATTACTTTTTTTCCTGTCCCCAACAGGCCCTTTAGAGAGCTTTCATGTGTTATCTCAATTAGTGTTACACCTTATTTGAGAGAAAGCTGAAATGTAAATAGGAAGGACATGAGATTTATTATTAAACACTCAATAGTTGAAGGATGTGTTCAAGACAAAAAAAAATCAAGATGTTTTCTGATTAATGGTCTATTTATTGATACCATTCTATTTTAACAAAGAAAATATTTCAAATTATAAGGTATACAAGTCAATACTGTTTTGAACTTAAAAATTATTTGCTTTGAGAGTGTGTGTGTGTGTGTGAGTGTGTGTGTATAATAAATGATTACAACGGGTGTGTTAGTGAAAATATGTGGTCTTTGGTTATTAGCTATATACTGTCTACTTGTGAGATGCAAGGTAAGTGGGTCACAGACTCTCAAATTTATGAAACACTTAGATTTTTCAGGGAAGTTATGTGGAAAGGACTAGGGAGTTTCCTGATTAGGTAAGACATTCAGGTGGGATGTCCACTGGGCAGCACTCTAAATCATCAGCAGTGTGAGGGGTGATACAATTTAGTAAAGTGAGTATAGGTTTAAATTCTGGCCAAAGACAAACCTCTCCTACACAATTCATGGAACCTTCTCTGGAAAGAGGTTTCCATGTCCTGCAGAGACTAACTGGGCACCAATCATACCTCCACTAACTGACCTGGCTGCTTCCTCTAGTACTTGATACCTCACTGTTCCCTTTCTTCATGAGAGACAGTGTGGTAATTGGTAATCACAATACAAACTCCAAAACAAGTAAGTGGACAATAAAATTCATATTTGCTTAAAAGAAGTTTTGAAAATAATCTTGGTAGCTATCTTACTGGATTGTAGAAAGCTGAAGCTTGCTGGGAATGGCACTGAAGGAATTTTTGTATGGTTGGGAAAAGGTTGGTCACTGACTGATCTCTAAAGCCCTTTTCATTGTAAGATTCTGTGATTTTCGGGAAACTATATTTTCTAAAAACAGTCCAGAATATCTGCAAGCTTATGATCATTACCACGTGCTTCTTATTGTTGGAGAAGCTGAGTAAATATCCTGTCATAATAAGACAAGGATGTTGCATCATCCCGGGTCCCTGCAGTGAATGGCCAAGATAATAAGTAAGAGGTTAACCACGGGCTAGCCAACATGGAGGTGCCAGAAAGAGCCAGCACCTGCTCTGAGACAATGGTCTGATTGCCCTCCTGCCTGTAATGACAGCAATTAAAAAATTACGAAAATCTAATTCCACAGTATTATTACACACCGTGGAAAAATCATGGAAATAAACCGTGGTTCTTGCCCTCAAGAAGCTGACAATCCGTTTGGAGAGCTAGGATAAACACACAGGAATTAGTTAACGATTCATTGTTCACCCATGTGGTACTGAACCCAAGTGAAATAGGAATTTTAAGATAATAAATTGTGTCCAGAAAGGTTTATTTAAGAGTCAGGGCTTGAACTAAGCCTTGAAGACTGGCTTGAGGGAGGACCAATAGGGAGAAGAAAGTATTTCTGTGGGGTGTTGGGGACGAGGTGAGAAAGGAGTCGACACAGATAAACCAGAGCATATGACATATGCACTGGAGAGGAGGCAGGCACTGAATTGTGGTAGGATGGAGAAGAGCTGACTTGAATGTAGCAAAGGGGAACAATAAGAAAGTGTTGAGCAGACAAGATAGAATCACATGGCTTCCAACGGCAGAAAGGAACCCCTGAAAGCCACAGACTAGTGATCTCCAGTGGTGGTACCCAACAGCAACCAGCATGAATCTCTCAGACATATTATATGTGAGGCCTGTAGGCTGATTCAAATCCAGAGGTTGATGGCCACAGCAGCTTGGTAAGGTCCAGCTCAATTTCAAACTGCTTGGCTCACCAGCATGCTATGCTAACAGGCTTAGGACTTGCTGACAGGTGCCTCAGATACTCTCTGGAGGCTGCAGTGTGTGGAAGCCTAGGACTGCTCTTCCAGGCAGCTGTTGTGTGGGGGAGGTAGTTGTTTGAGCATCTGTCTGGACACGGATATTACTAAAATCACGGCCTTACACATGATGAAATTCAGTTGGTGGGTGGTAGAGGAACGAAGACAATCATAGCCTCTAACAATTCTTAACATTTGGATTCTCAAAATCAACATTCTAGCTTTAGTTATAACTTCAGAGTAATGTTTTAAATTTTCTAGTCAAATTAACAAGCATTTGTATTACATGCCATCCTCCTTTGGAATGATCTCGGTATAATTAAAATAGAACATTTTTAACACAGAATACTTATTGGTGAAGTGGTTTCTTATGCAGTCTTCTTTTGATGAGGACGTCGAGATTTTTGAACTTTCCCAACTTTCTTAACTTTCTTGTTTTTTTGATATTTTTTCCCATTCTTTTGCTTTTTCTTTTGGTTCACCTGTGAGGAGAAGGGAAAAGGGGCAATGTTTCTGAATCTGACAATTTTCCCTTCCTTATATTTGGACTCACTCTCCTGATTATGGTCTTTCTTCATCCTCAAAACCACATTAAAGTCACTTCACTCTCAGAGGGGCTCCTTTAGATTCTCCTTACTTTGCCCACTTTGAGGAGGAGGCAACAGCCTTCTAACTGGCTGTCTTTTGTCTGTTCTTTCTGGCTTATCACATCTCCCTGCAACCTTGCTTACCACTCACCTGCCCCCGCTACAATCCTCTAAGGTTGGCACTGTTATCTTCCATGTTTTACATATGAGGAGGCTGAGGCCTGGAGAGGGTGACTTGCCCAAATCTGGACAGCTAATGTGGCAGAACCACCAGTCTGTCACACTTAAGAACCCAATCTCCCACTCACATACCAACTGCTTAGCATACCATGCAGGATTCCTCCCGCTTTGTCCTGACCTACTTTTCTACCTCAGTCCCTTCAGTCTCTTCACACAAACTCCAGCCACACTAATGGAGGCTCCCTGAACACAGCAAATTCTCTTGTGATTCTACTGTTCTGCTCACACTGTCCTTACCTTCCTGGCAAATTATTTATCCTTCAAGACCCAAATCAAGTATCACCTGACATGAGAAATCTTCCTTAACACTTTCTCTTGCCCCGTTCCCCTAGCAAAGTTAAGTACTCCCTCCTCAATATCTTCAAGATTCTTGTGCATACTTTTATATTTCTCACATTGTACCGTAATTATTATCATATTTGCTACAATAGGAAAAGACTATACCTTACTATGTTTGTATCCTCTGTGTCTACCATTCAATTAATTACATATTTATTGTATTAAATAAGGACAAGCTCTATACCCTCCAAGGAACACACATTCTTCTGGTGGGAGACAGAGGGGATAGTATATGTAGGAACATAATTTTGTCCTAGGAACAAAATAGAAGCACCATAATATGAATGAAAAATGTATTCTTAAAAGTTGTGTATTCTTATAGTGTTAATGAAAATATAGATTCTTTGTTTTCCAAAGTTAATTTCTGAAAGGAAGAAAATGTTCCTCCTTTTCACCAACCTGTTTCTCCCACTTTTTTATCAGTTCCTTCACATCTGCTGAATCTGGATTTAGACATGTTTGATCTCCATTCTTCAGTGTAGCACTGCCAAGGAAATAGCAATGAGACAAAGTTTTTTCTCATTAATAACTTAAATGCTTTTTTTTTTCAGAAATAATGAAAATAAGTATAAATTTTGCTGAATTTTCTAGTGAAACTACCTAAAATTATTTCCTAGGACAAAATGAGCCACTGGTTGAATTTTTTTTTTTTTTTTTGAGACGAAGCTCTGTTGTCAGGCTGGAGTACAGTGGCGCCATCTTGGCTCACTGCAACCTCTGCCTCCCAGGTTCAAGTGATTCTCTTGCCTCGGCCTCCCGAGTAGCTGGGACTACAGGTGCATGCCACCATGCCAGCTAATTCTTGCAGAGACAGAGTTTCACTATGTTGGCCAGGATGGTCTCAATCTCTTGTCTTCATGATCTGCACGCCTCGACCTTCCAAAGTGCTAGGATTACAGGAGTGAGTTACCATGCCTGGTTGAATTTTAAAAATTACTTACAGTAGACTGTCTGGAAATAATTTAAATATTTCTCTAATTTTTCTGTATAGTGTGAGAAAAAGAGTAGTCAATAATGATATATAAAGACTTAAAATATGCACACATCCTTTAACCTAGCAATTCTAATCTTGAGAAAGGTACCAATAGGAAAGAATTACAGACACACTACTTATTAAAACTATATCATGGCTTATGCCATTATGGCTACTGCCATAATAAGTTTTATTTCATCAGCGAAAATTTGGAAATAATCTATATTTCCAACAACAATAATTGGTCATCTAAATAATGGTTTATCCATATGATGAAATAAAATTAGGCCATTAAAAATGACATTAGGTGGCTGGGCACAGTGGTTCACACCTGTAATCCCAGAACTTTGGGAGGCCAAGGCAGATGGATCACAAGTTCAGGAGTTTGAGACCAGCCTGGCCAAGATGGTGAAGCCCCATCTCTACTAAAAATACAAGAAAAATTAGCTGGGCGTGGTGGTTGGCGCCTATAATCCCAGCTACTCAGATGGCTGAGGCAGGAGAACTGCTTGAACTTGGGAGGCAGAGGTTGCAGTGAGCTGAGATCCTGCCACTGCACTCTAACCTGGGTGACAGAGCAAGACTCCATGAAAAAGAAAAGTGACATTAGGTAAGAACAACATTATTAGAGACTTACTGACATAAAAAAATGTTCATGATATAGTTTTAATGAAAAAGCAGATTACAAAACAGTATATGATTTAATTTTTGTGTTTGTATATTGTGTATATAAATACATATCTATGTTACATGCACATGAAGCAAATAAGGGAGATTTAGAAGATTGTATACTAAGGGGTTAACAGTATTTGTCACTCGAGGATAGAATTATGAGTGGTTTTTCTTTTCTTCTATTGTATCATCTGCATTAAACATTTTCTACAATAAACATGTGTTACTTTGGTAATATATCATTCTTGGGTCCTAATCTACCAAAACTTCCTTGTATTTTTAAGGAGAAAAAAGAAAGGGGCTGCCCAAATTTATGGAGGGGCTAACCAAATGATTTTTAAGTGTTTCTAAGGGCAAGCACTCCAAGGGTAAAACTCACCCTAAATTTAATGTTCTTGCCAATATGGTGCATGCATGTTAGCTGGGTTGTTACTTACATGATTTCAGTTTTCTCACAGGAACGGCTTGGGGCAAATTGTTTAAGGTCTTTCAAGGATTGTAAGTGGATAGTCCCTTGGTTGGTGCTGATACAGGAACAGCGACCCTTCCTCATTACTAGGTTTCCTAAAGGAAAGAAAAAGGTAGAACACATCAGTGTAGTCCAATGTTTCAGTTTAGGTGATCTATCAAAATATATATCTGACTGAGTCATGATTGTTGCTATAATTTACTGAGTGCCTAAAAATCATCACCACAAACCTTTGAAGGAGGTATCATCTCTATTTTATACATAAGGAAACTAAGGTTCAGAAAGGTTAAAGAACCAAATCATACAGCTTTTAGGGAGCAGGGGCAGGGTTTTAGCCAAGGTCTCTCTGAATCCAAAGGTGTTGCTCTTAACTACCACATCTTATGTCCTTGGGAACAAAAGAGACTTCCACAATATTTAATAAATGCCTATCACAAGACAAACAGACACCTAATTCATGTATGCTATGCTGATCACAGTTTCCTAAGCAACTCCTAAAGCCATTTATTATTTATGTTCTGAGCTTAGGGAATGAAACTGGTGTTGGTGTTGAACAGAAAGCACTCCTTTGTAACCGATCACCACTTCCCTCCTCATATTTTCTCCTCCCCACTGCCTTGCTTTTCAATAGTGTTTTAAATTTTTGAAAACCCCTTAAAATACATTATCTTAATTTTTAAATTCATATATTTACTTGGTACTTATTATTCTACATGCCATACATTATATAGTAGTCAGAAAAGGTATAACTACAAAGTTCTGTTTTACAAATGATGTGGAAACTGAGGTCTAGAAAGATTAAGTAATTTGCCCAAGGTAACAAAGATAGTAAATAGATTAGGGACAATCTCTCTGATTGTTCATTAGATCCTTAACTGGTTAGCCACAGACATACTTAACAAAAAACAGTATCAGGGAGAAGAAAATAATTTAGGAGACAGAGTTTCATCCCATTATCACCCAGTTCAACGAACATTTATTGAATACTTACTAGGAATTCATACACCTAAACTACAAAGAGTTGTATTTGACTTGGCAGATCTAAGTTATGAACTTTGGATAACTGATCATGTCACTGGGAAGCTTTTATAAGTGACCAAATATTACTCTTCAATGCAGGCAGAACATTCAACTTTATCTGGCTAATCAAGATTCTTTTACAGTAAATCACTTCTCTTTACAAGCTAACTCAGAACCTCTTACCTTGAACTCCAATCAGAACCAGCAAGATGAAGCCTAAGAGGAAAAGAACACCACTTTTCTTCATAGTGATAGAATGGAATTCTAAGTTACTCCTATACCGAACTTTGAGGCCAATAAATTCTTTAGATAACACATTTTGGGCATCATATTTATTTAGGAAATTCATTTCTCTGATTGGCTAGCATCTTAGCTGAGCTAACTAACCACAAAATTGATTGTGCTAGGGGAAACCCTACTCTCACATCCAAGGGAATTTCTGCATGTTTTTATTTCCATTTCACATAAATGGGTGGTTTATAATAAGGGATGTGAAACTAGCAACAGATAGCCTTTTAGCCATTCACAGCTGCTCACCTGTTTGAAGAATAGGTTATATAATGAACATCCTAATGTTATACAACAAGGGTTGGAGATACGGTTTCCAGATGGTAAATATTAAAGTCCAGATAAGCAATACACTTTTCAAATTCTATTACTATTTATGGTATATCCTTCTGTATAATAGATGGCTACATTGATATTTTCTTATATTGCCCACCCAACAAATTAAAGCACCTTAACTTCCTCTGGGACCAGGTCATTATCTACCAGTGGTAAGCTCATTTTGTATCATTCCTGCTACCATTTATTAGTTCTTAAATTGTTAGATTGGTTAGAATAAGGGATCAGTTGCATGTAAGAGACCCAAATTAACAGTGGCTAAGAAATGCAATAAAAACAAAGATAAACAGCTGGGACCTAATTAAACTAAAGAGCTTTTGCACAGTCAAAGTAAACAGACAACCGACAGAGTGGGAGAAAATCTTCACAATCTATACATCTAACAAAGGACTAATATCCAGAATCTATAATGAACTCAAACAAATCAATAAGAAAAAACAATCCCATAAAAAAAGTGCGCTAAGGACATGAATAGATAATTCTCAAAAGAAGATACACAAATGACCAACAAACATGAAAAATGTTCAACATCACTAATGATCAGGGAAATGCAAATAAAAACCACAAGAATGGCTATAATAAAAAAAAAATCAACAAACAGCAAATGTTGCTGTGGATCAGGGAACACTTCTACACACCTGGTGGGAATGTAAACTAGTACCACCACTATAGAAAACAGTGTGGAGATTCCTTAAAGAACTAGCGTAGTACTACCATTTGATCCAGCAATCCCACTACTGGGTAGAAAAGAAGTCATTATCTGAAAAATGTGCTTGCACATGCATGTTTATAGCAGCACAATTCACAACAGCAAAATCATGGAACAAACCCAAAAGTCCATCAATCAATAAGTGGATAAATAAACTGTGGTATATATACATGACGGAATACTACTTAGCCATAAACATGAACAAATTAACAGCATTAGCAGTGATCTGGAAGAGACTGGAGACTATTATTCTGAGTGAAGTAACTCAGGAATGGAAAACCAAACATCATATGTTCTCACTGATATGGGGAGCTAAGCTGTGAGAACACAAAAGCATAAGAATGATACAGTGGATTTTGGGGACTTGTGGGGAAGAGTGAGAGGGGGTGAGGGATAAAAGACTACAAATAGGGTGCAGTGTATACTGCTCAGGTGATGGATGCACCAAAATCTCACAAATCAGCACTAAAGAACCCCAAAAACTTACGGAAAAATAAAATAAAAAAATAAGTAACAGCAACAATAAAAAACAGTGGCTCTAAATAGAAGCTTATTTCTTTCTAACAGAGGTAGGTGGATCAGTACTTGGATGATGGCTCTTCCCCATGAGGTCTTCCAGGCTCCTTCTTTGTTTCGTCACCATCTCTAGATTGCTGCCCTCACACACATGGCCAAAGGTGGCTTGCCACCATGTCCAATTTCCAAGTACAGGATGGAGAGAAGGCAACAAAAGGGCATGTCCCTCCTTTTCGGAAACATCCTAGAAGTCATTATCATTTCTATCACCTCCAGTGGGGGCAGGCCTTATTCACACCACTACACCTAGCTGTAGGGAAAACTAAGAAATGTGATCTTTATTTTGGTTGACTAGCTAAAGATTGGAGATTTCATTTGTGTAAAATAATGTTTCTCAGTTTTTTTCATTATGGACTCTGCTGCATGCACACGTGTACACACACACACACTCCACCTTGCCCTGAGAAAAACTAAAGTTAACTGAAAACTAAATTTAATTTCTCCCTAAAGAGAGAAATTAAGTGCTAAGAAGTAAGATTTTGTTGGGTAGGGTTGAACTTTGGTAGGCCACTAGTCATTGTAATATCTAAGATTTTTTAGCTCTCCAAGAACCGATTTTTGTCCCCCTTGGGAGCAACTTGCCCCTCTTCCCATTGACAATGCATGCTGTAGAATTAGGGGACAGCAGATATTAGCATTTTGTGTCACATGGTGCATATTTTTTTGACTGGTTTCTATACAGATTATTAACACTTAAATAGAATTACAGAATTCTTTTTGAAGAAAACATATGGTGACCATTGATACAGCTTATCCATTTGCTTATGCTTAATTTTGGTGCTCTCTGTGACCATGCAAAGTGGAGATAGGTTCACATTCCTGCTTCACTACTTAATGACTGTGTGCAAAATACTTTTTTTGTAAGCCTCATCTCCCTCATTTGAGAAAATTATTAGACCTCACAGGCTGTTAAGATTAATGCCAAGGATGGCTTGTCAGCTGCAAAGCATCACAGAGCTAGTGGCTGTCCTTTCTAGCAGACAGGAGGATGGAAATTTCTTAGGATAAAAACTAAGGCCCAGCACGGTCTGCCCTATCCACCTTTCCAGCCTCTTCTTGCACAGTTCACTGCTCCCAACACTTCGTATTCTCTCAGTTTTCTTTTTTTCCTTTTCTTTTCTTTCTTTTTTTTTTTCTTTGAGACTGAGTTTCACTCTTGTTGCCCAGGCTAGAAGGCAATGGCCCAAGCTCTGCTCACTGCAACCTTCATCTCCCAGGTTCAAGCAATTCTCCTGCCTCAGCTTCTCAAGTAGCTGGAATTACAGACACCTGCCACCAACGCTGGGCTAATTTTTGCATTTTTAGTAGAGACAGGGTTTCATCACATTGCCCAGCCTGGTCTCAAACTCCTGACCTCAGGTGATCCGCACGCCTCGGCCTCCCAAAGTGCTGGGATTACAGGCGTGAGCCACCGCGCCCACCCCTTCTCTCAGTTTTCGAAGGGGCAATGCTCTTTCCCATCGCAGTTTTTGCTCATGCCATTCTTCTGCCTGGAGCGACTGTGCATGCTCCTCAGTCCTGCCCTACTGCACAGTAGTTACCCATGCCAGCATAATTTCCCTGGGAAGCCCTCCCTGAACCCCAGAGGGGCTCTGAAGCACGACTTGCAGAGGCCTCGCAGAGCCCGTGTCTGCGGCAATGTCACATTTCGCTGCAACCATATGCTTAACATCTCCCTCCGCCACTAGGAAAGGAAGGCCGGCAAGGGTCCCCGGCTGAACATGGTGCTAAACATAGTGCCTAGCATCCAGTAAGTACTCAGTAAATAGGAGTACCGTGTGAAGGAAGGAGCTGGGAGCTGGCTCGGCAGGTCTGGAGGTTGGACAAGGTCCGCGAAGGGCTCCTGGCTCCACAGGCCTCACTCCAGCGACCTCTCCGGGCGGAGGTGCATGCACTGATGCACTGCGCATGCCCAGCCAACTGTTCTTCCAGAACTTTCTCCCGTGAGGAGGTTACACCCGGAGCTCTCAACGCGCTCTCGTGCTGCTCCTGTTGCCGCTGGGTGCCTCTGCTGCCAGTGCTAATCCTGCTGGAGGCGAAGAAAAGCACTTTGGGGGCAAAAGGTAGTGGTTGTGCCTTCAGGATCCCTAGACTGTGTCCCCTGAGCCGCCCTCAGCCTCCCCAGCCAAGATGGCCACTCTTTTGGGGGTGGGTGGGAAGATTATCAGGGGCGGTGGCTGTGACCAAGAGGCCCGTTTTGCAGGCTTCAGTCGAGGCTTGGGTGAGGCCAGCAGGGAACGAGGGCCCCAGAAGGGCCGGGGACACTGGACTTCGGTGACTGGGACAAAGGCCCCTCGGAAAACAGAAAGGAGGTGTTGGGGTCAGTTAGGAATCACTGAGGCCAGATCTTATGACTCGAAAAGGGGCTAATTTTCTGATGTACTAAGCAGAATGGGAGGGCTTCTCTGGCCTGACCCAACTTCGTGATGAAACTGTTCTGCCATGGGAGGGTAGGGCCCCTCGGGGCAGGCTGGGGCCGCTGCACTCAGCTCAGGCCTGTCCAGACACTAGTTTCCCGGGCTTCGTTTAGGAAAACTTGTCTGAGAGCAAGCACATTCTGACTAGGCAGCAAGAACGAGAAAATCCCATTGATCGTTGCATTTATGGCTAAACAAGGCTTTTAGGAGAAACAGAAACCTGGTGAGAGCATATTGCAGGCTGTTTCTCACAGCCCTGGGAATGGAGCCAAGGATGATGTAGAGTTGAAATCAACAAAGTTCCCAATTCCTTTTTGGATAAGATTTTAACTTCCTGTGCCTTGAAAAATTCCAGTTCTGTGTCTGTGGGGGATCTGAATGCTGATGTAACCCCCAAGAGCTTTACAGAGCGGAATTCTTAGTTTTCACAGATGTGTCCCTTGCATCTTTTTGGTTATGGAATCGAGGTGTTCTGTTTAATTATGCAGTGTGACTGACTCTTGTCATAGGGAAGATAAGAGCTTTCCTTTTTTACTTGTGAGAAGGGAAGTTCCTCTCATAAAGAAACCTCCAGGCCGGTTTGAATTTCTCATAGTGTGGACTTCCCCTCCTCTCGGCAGCTGTTGTTAGTATTAAACTGACTAGAAAGGGGTTTATTTCTTGAAAGTCTCAGAAGGCCAAGAGAACATTCTGATTTTTCTTTTTCCCTCTCCTCTCCCCACCAAGGAGTAATTCCTTCCTTCCTAAATACAACATGGTAAGTTACATGTAGGCAAATCTTAGCTGTGGGAAGTTTGATATCCTGTCTGTATCCAAGTCAATAAGAGAAAGGATCAAGTTCTTTCTTTGCTAATCTTAATCTTACTATCTGGCTTCTTGGTGTATATTTCTCATGTAAAACCTGAGGACTGGTTTAGGTTTGTAAATAAACTGTATTGAGAGAGAATGTAAGGATATCACGTAAAGGGCAACTTTTGCAAGCTGGGCACGGTGGCTCACGCCTGTAATCCCAGCACCTTGGGAGGCTGAGGCGGGTGCATCACATGAGGTTGGGAGTTTGAGACCAGCCTGACCAACATAGAGAAACCCCATCTCTACTAAAAATACAAAATTAGCCAGGCGTGGTGGTGCATAACTGTAATCCCAGCTGCTTGGGAGGCTGAGGCAGGAGAATCACTTGAATCCGGGAGGTGGAGGTTGCAGTGAGCCAACATCACACCATTGCACTCCAGCCTGTGCAACAAGAGTGAAACACCATCTCAAAAAAAAAAAAAAAGAAAAAAAGGGCAACTCTTTTGCAAAATGTTGACAGTAACAACATTTTTGTTTGGTGACTTTAGGCAAGTCAGCTTGTAGTCTGGTGACATGTAGCAATAACCATTAAGAAGCTGCTGACTCACCTGAAGAAAAATTATCCTGAAAAAAAGATTTTTATACTTAAAATATCCATATTTATTTAAAATGTCACTTTAAAATTGCAGATGTTAAGTAATTTTATGAGAAAAAAATCCACATTCTTAAAAACCTTCATTTAGTGTTTATCATTCATTTCATCCACCAAACTGTTATGGTTCTAGACTCTAAGGACACAAATATGAACAATGATTTCCTCAAAGAGCTCACAGTTTAGTTGGCATGTACATTAACACTTCTTATAGAAGTGGTATGTTAAAGGATTGTTTGGAATAATTGGAGGTACAGAGAAGTGAACAACTCTGGCTGATGGGTTCAAATACAGCTGTCTGAGTTAAGTCTAAAAGGGAGAATTGGCAAACACAGCTGTCTGAGTTAAGTCTGAAAGGGAGAATTGGCAAACACAGCTGTCTGAGTTAAGTCTGAAAGGGAGAATTGGCTGGAATTTGTTACTAGAAGAAGTTGGGGGAATGTTCTAGGCAAGAGGCAGGAGAAGGTATTTCTCTCATAATTAAAAAAAAGAAAACACAAGTTAGGGACTGAATTGTGTTCCCCCACCAAATGCTTATGTTGAAAACCTAACTGCCAGTACCTCAGAAGGTGACTGGATTGAGAAATAGGGTTTTCACAGAGTTAATTAAGTTAAGCTGAGGTCCCTGAGGAAGCACAGTCTTTGGATTTACTAGAGCAAGATGTTAAATCAGCTGTCTTAAATATGCTCAAAAAGCTAAAGGAAACCATGTACAAAGAACAAAAGGAAACCAGACAAAATGAGAATATCAATAAAGGAATAGAAATGACAAGGAACCAAATAGAAATGATAGAACTGAAAAGTACAAAACTGAAGTGAAAAAATTTAGATGAGTTCAACAGCAGTTTTGAGCCAGCAGAACAAAGAGTCTGCAAGTCTGAAGATAGGGCAATTGAAATGTTCAAGTCTGAGAAGTAGAAAGAAAAAAGAATGAAGAAAAGTGAACAGAGCCTAGGAGACCTATGAGACACCATCAAGTAGACTAGCGTATGCATAATGTGAGTTTCAGACGGAGAAGAGAGAGAAAGGGGCAGAAGACTATTAACAGAAATAATGACTGAAAACTTCTGAAATCCAGTGAAAGGTAATGAATCTACATGAATCCAAGAAGCTCAGTGAACTCCAAGCAAGATAAACTAAAAAAGATCCACACTGAGATACATATAGTCAAGCTGTCAAATCTCAGAGACAAAGAGAATTTTAAAAGCAGCAATAATGAAATGATTCATTGTATACATCCAAAGGCTCCTTGATAAGATTAGCCGCTGATTTCTTATCAGAAACCAAGGAGGCAAGAGGGCAGTGGAACAACATATTTAAAATGCTGAAAGAAACAGAATTCTTCATTGACAGATTTTTTTTTTAATCTGGCAAAACTGTCCTTCAAGAATGAAAAAGAAATGAAGACATTTGTAAGTAGACAGAAGCTAGGGGAGATTATTACCAGTAGAACTTACTCTATACAAAATATTAAAGGCAGGCCTGCAGGCTGAAATGAAAGGATGCCTACTCAAAGCCATATGAAGGAATAACACTGGCAAAGGTAACTGTAGGTAAATATAAACACCAGTATTGTTGCACTTTTGGTTTGTAGCTCCTCATTTTTCCTATGTGAATTAAAAAAATGCATAAAACAATAATTATAACTCTATTAATGAGCACACAATGCTGTAATCCGTGACAATAATAATTGTCACAAGGGAGGAATGCAGATATATAGGAGTAGAGAGTGTTTGTTTACTGTTGAAACTAAGGTGGTATTCAAACTAGGATGTTACAAGTTTAGGATGTTAATTGTAATCCCCAAGGTAACCACTAAGAGAATAAAAAGGTGGTAATAGAGAAATGGAGGAACAATAAAGTAAGACACTTAAAAATATTCAATAGCTAAATGGCAAAGTGAATTCTTCCTTATCAGTAATTACTTTAAATGTAAATGTATTAAACTCTAGCCTACTGAGCTTATACTTATAAAAGGTTTGGTTTGGTTTTTTGATACAGGGCTTCATTCTGTTGCCTAGGCTTGACTGCAGTGGCATGACTATAGTTTACCACAGCCTCAGTCTGGCTCAAGCAGTCCTTCCACGTCAGCCTTTTGAGTAGCTGGGACCATAGGCATGCTCCACCATGGGTTTTTGCCATTTTGGTCAGTCTAGTCTCAAATGTCTGGGTGCAAGTGATCCTCTGGCCTTGGCCTCCTAGAGTGCTGGGATTATAGGCACAAGCTACCATGCCTGGTCTCAGTTTGCTAATATTTTATTGAGGATGTTTGCATCAGTATTTGTGAGGGATATTGGCATGTTGTTTTCTTTTTTCAATGTGTCTTTGATTTCGGTATCAGGGTAGTACTGGCCTTATAGAATGAGTTTGGAAGGTCTTTATTTCTCCTTCATGTTTGAAGGATAGTTTCACTGGCTATTCTAGGGTAAACAAATTTTTCCTTACGCATTTTAAATATGTCATGCCATTGTATCCTGGCCTGTAGGGTTTCCACTGAAAAGTTTGCTGCCATACATATAGGAGCTCTGTTTTATGTTATTTGCTCCTTTTCTCTTGCTGCTTTTGTCATCATTTCTTTATCTGTGACCTTTGGGAGTTTGATTATTAAATGCCCTGAGTTAGTCTTCTTTGGGTTAAATGTGCTTGGTGTTTCGTAACCTTCTTGTACTTGAATATTGATACCTTACTGTAGGTTTGGGAAGTTCTCTGTTATTATTCCTTTGAATAAACTTTCTTTCTTTTTTTTTTTTTAAAGGAGAGAAGGAAAGAAAAAAAAGTAGTGAAGGAGAGGAAGAAAGGAAGAAAAAGAGGGAGAAAGAACGGGAATGTTGCTTTATTCTAAAAATGGGTATTAATAATGGCCGATTAATATTTCATTTAAACCTCTGAGTAGGTGTGATGTGGTATTGACAAGAATGTATATTTTGTGTATTTAAAGTGGAGAGCCCTATAAATATTTATTAAGTTTACTTGTTCCGGATCTGAGTTCAAGTCCTGGATATCCTTATTAATTTTCTGTCTCGTTGAGTCTAAGTCTCTTTATAGGTCTTATGTATCTGGGTGTTAGGAACATTAGCTCTTCTTGTTGCATTGATCCTTTTACCCCTATATCTTTGTTGCTCTAACATCTATTTTATCAGATGCGAGAATTGCAACTCCTGCTTTTATTTATTTATTTATGCTCTCCATTAAGTTGGCTAAT